GGAAGACGGGACCCCACTGGGGTTGCTGGGTTCTGAGGAGAGAGAGTATGATGGCCTTGGAGGAAGCAGGGTCCACCCAAGCTCAGGCTCTGCAGAGTTCAAGGAAATGTCTGACCAAATGCTTAAGGAAGCCCTGTAACAAGTATTTAGAAGAGCCAGGCAGCAGCGATGCTCGAGTTACAAAACCTCTCCTGATGGCAAACTGAAGGCAAAGAGCGGGAAGGCTCTGGGCAAAGGAGCACTGCTTCTGTGGGCCACGGAAGACAGCGGAAGCCCCACAGATGCAGGAGGCATCCAGCAGAAGCTGCAGGGTGACCAGGCAGGACAGGGCGAGGACGCTCCAGGGGCAGGACTGGCCTCCCGTTGGCCTGTGTGCAGATCCTGCAGGGCATTCATGCTGCGCACTGGGTTCTGTTTTTGGGTTTCCCAGCCTCCATGAGAGGCCTAGTAAAGGTTTCTATGTTTCATAAAAGAGGAAACGCTACTACTCTCACGTAAGTGCTATGGTTTGCACATAGTAGGTTAAGTCAATAAAGGTTTTATTAAATTTTAAGTTGAATAAAATTGAACATTATTTAAAATTTAAAATCATTGAATTTCAAATTCGATTTGAAATTTCTTTTAGAGATACAGATTTCAACATATCATAACTCAGCTTTCACCTCCAAACTGAATGGAAACTTGAAGTCCTGTTCTGTAAATGCAAAGTCAGACATGAACCTGGATCTTGGGCGCGCCACCAGCTGGCTCTGTGACCTGTAACGTGATTTCCTCATCTGCAAATTGGGTGCAGCAGCGTGCATACCGTGGGCTGTGGCTCCTTTGCGCATGGCACAGGGAGGGGATTGACTGAGCACCCTCTCTCCCTTCCCTAGTGCACCATAACATAATGTGATATTTAGAATTTTAATTCAGGCAATTACTTAAGTAGTAATTGCTATTTGTATTTACATAGCTGCTTTGATCCAAAAAGCTCAAAGGGCTTACTAAATTTAGCATTTTAATAAATGTTTCATTTGCATTCTGTTGATTCTGTTTACCCACACCCCAACTTGGAATTTTCTAAAGTGAGACAGTCAGACAACTCGAAGGGACATGGCTTCAAGGTCACAACCTGCCCAGCCTGAGTCTCATCTGTGTCACAGAAGGGGTCACAACTCCCCAATCCCCTGGAAGATAGGAGAGCAGGAACCTGGTGTGCCTGCTCCCCTGCACACTCCCTTCTTCAGCTCCTGCCCACCGAATGCATCCCCACGGTGCTTCTCCAAGACCCTGACGACAGAGATGTGCTTATTGCACCAGTGAATTTACACGTAATCAGCACAATAAACATTATTAAATTGTCGGGAGAAAAATCAAAGTGGGAAGCGCGGCACCAGTACTGAATTCTAATGATGCTGAGTGTCCGCGGCTGCGCAGGGACAGGATCTTAACAAGCCTTGATTTCAGCGCTGGCCTCCGCCTCCCAAACCACATGGGCTGCTCCTGCCGTAACACTGCTGAATATTGATAAACGTCTCTGCCCCGCGCAACAGGGAAGTGGGTTTCTATTGGCAATCTTTCCCAAAGTGTGCTTTTCCCCTTCTCTGCACTCAAGGGTTTACCCTGAATGATTTAATTATAATTTTCCTTGTGTAAGACAAATTAAAGAGGAGAGTAGGAGTGGCGTGCCAACCACATTATTTATCTCCTGAACAGATTGCTGCTCACCAGACCCCAGAGCTGCTGCGGCAGAGGCTGCTCACGGGAGACGCACCAGGCCAGGGTGGGGGACTGGGGGGGCAGGAGTTTTCCAAATGGCAGGGAGACTTGCCACCCGGGTGCCACGCACATCAGACACACCATGACTCTAACCACGCACCAAAACTCTCGTAGGACTGCCTTTCCCAACGAGTCTCCCCACAGAGCCACCCCAGGCAGGAGTCTGTCGGGTGGAGGGGTGCCAGGGGCCCTGGCTGGGCGTGATGTTCCACGAGAATGGGGCAAAGAGAAAGCTCTGCCACAGGAAGTGTAGGCAGGGCTCTCGAGGACCCATGTTCACAGGAGAACTAGCAAGGAAGGGCCAGCTCCCGGCACCAGGGAGGACACGCCCTCAGGGACAGCGGCAAGCTTTCTCCCTTTCCTTCACCATTTCCCACTATTTAAACCGCACATCACACATGGGACTTTTAAATTAATCATAATAGGTAATATTCATTTTAAGTACCTATATACATACAAAGCTGGCGGACGAATAATTGATTTTTTAAATGATCAATTCTATAAGCTTAAAAGCGTTGAATTATCTTTAACTGAAGGTGTTCTTGGCCTTCCTGGCTACAGCCAGTGAAAATGTGCTGACTGGGGTGGGGTAGTGGCACAGCTCAGTGGGAGAGTGCGCACCAGGCCCTGGGCTCCAGCCCCAGCAGCAGAAACAATAAAACACAAGAAACTGCACTGGGGAGGACTTTCTTTGAGTCTGGCCACATTTCCTCTAAGCCGAGAGAATCAGGAGCTTAAGTGATGGAGTGTCACTCTGTAGCTGTGTCCTCCCTGAGCACACAGCTGGAAGGCCAGCCTGTTTTCACACCCAGGCGAAGGCTCCCTGGAACCCGAGCTCTCTTCTGACCCATGGTCTAACTCTGGCATGTAGCGAAATGGAGACACGGAGTCGAGGCACAGTGTCCATGCACACATCCCGAGAGAAGAACCCAACCAGCAGAGCATCCTGGAATCAGTGTCCCGCGGAGCCACTGAGCTTCCAACGTGCCTTAAGACACCCAAAGGGCTGTGCTCCTGGCTCACCTATCACCTGGCTGCATCTACACAAGGAGAGAACCGCCTCGGGACGCCCCTCGCCCTCCCGTGAGAAGACTGCAGAGAGACCTCAAGTGCACCCGTCCACGCTTCTGAGTGCCAGGCCCCCCAGGCCTGTGGATGGAGATGCAATTCAATTGTCCAGCAGCAAACGGACCACAGCAACCCTAGGATGGGAAAAGCAAGTCCACCAAAGGGCAGCAGCCCCAAGCCTCTCCTTTCAAGCTCCCTAAGACTTTCTATTTAGAAAAAATGATGACGATGATGAGATGACAAAGCAGGGCTTCAGGCCACCTTCCGGCCATGCGTGTCTTTCCCCACTGCAAAGGGGAGCCACACTCTGGCCAGCGGCTCCAAGCAGCCTCGCCCTGTGCCCCATCCTGTTCCTCAAACTGTTCTCAACTAGTCCCTTTAAAGCATCGTTTAGTTTTTGACACCTGCCATGGAGATGTAAACAAGGAGATCTTACCGGCCAGTCCCAAGTTCTAGTGGGAACATATTTATTATTCTCATTTCTGCTGTTTAGGCTCAAACATAATACCTGTGTGTGCGTGTGCATATGTGTAGCTGTGTGTCCCTGACAAGGGATGCAGTCTGAGAAGTGTGGTCGTTGGCCCCTTCGGGGGTGTGTGAACATCACCAGTGTACTCACACAGCCTACCTGGGCTACGTGGGGTCACGTGCGCAGCACAACCCATTGCTCCCAGGCCCACAGTGCATGAGTTTAGCCCAGGCACAAGAGAAAAGACGCACGGGAGACGGGGTCAACATGAGGTGTTTGAGCCTGCCGCTGGCTAACATGACGTACTATTCACTGTCAACGATGTCTTTTAATAGGTAGAAGGAGCACACTCTAAAATGGTGATTGATGAGTACAGCAGAGCAAGTGTGTGGATCAGTAACGGCACCACTCATCACCAGCCAGGACTGTGCGCGGGGTAACTGCACGTGTGTTGTGTGTACATGACTGGCGTACACTGCTGTTGACTCCGGTATCCCCACAACACTCGAGTAGCGCCCTGTGGGTTGGCCCCGTATGGCCGTGAGGCATGGAGTGGTGGGAATTTTTCCCTCCTTTATAATCTTATGGGACCACTATTATATATGTGGATCAGATCTTGACTCTATATAATAAACAGATAACTATTTTCTGATATAAAGATATGTACCTGATTACACCAGTTGCCTTATGATGCTCAACACCACGAGAAAGACATGAAATCATGTTTGCAGCTGCTTAACTGAAATATATAATTCATTTTTTTATGGAGTCATTGCTATTTAAGAACAAAATCCAGAATTTGCTTCTTCCTGATGGAAGCAGCATTTACTATCACATCCTGCTGTTTAGGTCTCCCCTTCTGTGTGTGGAAGCTGTGTGTGTGAAACACACAGGAAACAGTTTAGAAAGAGTAAGCTGGAAAGAGCTGTCAATCTTAGGGGTGCTCTCTGCTCAGGAAAAGCACCCCGGTAGCTCGAGGAACACCCCTGGGCAGAAGGGACCACGGCAGGGATCAACAGCTTGGCTTTCCTAGAACTCCTTGTGCACATGACATCCTCCAGGCCTCCGAGCCAACCTGGGCTTCCACGAACACACATGTTGAAAACTATGAACTCGTAAGCTCAGGGCAGGAAGGCAGCAGGAGTGAGGCGACCCGATGACCACCGTGCTGAGGAAGCTTGTGTGCGGATACAAGGCCACCTGCACCCCTCCAGCCTCGCGCCCTCACTCAAGGTCTACACGCACCGTGTGCTTTGGGGACACACGAAGGCAAAGACGGGCTTCCCACCTTTACAAGGGCAACGTAACGTAAGTCCTGTTTCTCAAACCACGATGCGAAATCACCCACAGCAGATGCGCCTGGTACCAGCAGGTGCTCAGAGCCCAGAAACTGAGCTTGACCAGGGGGAGAATTTGGCAGACAGAGGACCTGTAAGTCTTGAAATCTAACCCAACGAGACACTCCAAGACTTCTGCACGGCCCTAAGCCCATGAGATCTACAGCCATACTAATTCCATGTTGAAAAGGTGAAAACAATTAGATGCTCACACACACCCACACCACATTGAATACATTGTTACGTAATTACAGGCACCTTCGAGTCACACTGATCCAATTAGGGAGCCCTGGGCCAGGTGGGGTCAGGCCACCTGCCCTCCCAGGCCGTGGCCAGCCTTCTGCGGGGCCCAGGCCCCTGCCTACCTTTCCCTCTTGGGCGTGTGCACCGAGAGCTGGCCATTGGTGGAGGCGTGCGGGTTCATCACCAGGGAGGCCTTGGCGGGGGCGGAGGAGGACACACAGGTGGTCAGGTCCAGGCTGCTGGGGTTGTTGCTCGTGGCTTCTTCTGCAGTGTGCACACCCGTCACCTCCTTCCAGAGCTGCTGCAGCTCCGTTGGAATCATGCCTGAAACAAACAAATTGGATAATTAAATCAATTAACAGCTAATTCCGGCCTCTTCAAACAGTAATTAAATCAAAGAGTCAGTAAACAAAGCCTAGTGTTAGGGTTTTTTTAGTGTGTGCAGTTCTTTTTTCCTCCCCTCCCCACCAAGGCAAACACGGGAGCACCTCCTCCCAGGAGCTGCAGGCGGAAGGGCCCTCGTCACGCGCAGACCAGGGACAGGGGCCCAGCAGCTACTCTGCCACAGCAGCGCCCGCCTCCCTCCGCCCAGCTGCCGCTTCCCAATTTCAGGAAAAGCCGGAGGACGGCACCTTATCTCCAGACACAAAGAAGGGCCCAGAATGAAACTGTTCAACTACATTCTTATGACAACGCGGGCCACAAAATGAATGATTTTTGTGCTTAAGTCTTAAATGATGACAAATAGCTTTGTTATTAAATATAGTTTTTATTAATCACTTTTAGACATAAATTATGAATTCATATCGTCTTCCTGAAATGCTTTTCAACTTTTAACAGTCAAATTGATTATACTATGATTATTTCATTAACACACCTATCTTCCTCATTAATTTTGGTTTCTCGTACCACATGCTTAATTGATGGATGTGTCTACTGAAAAACTGTATAACTTTTTACACAAGTAACACTATTATTACTGTCATTTCTTAAATCAATGCTAATGAACCATCGCTGAATGAAATGAAGACGTAAAATAAATTTGGGGCAATAAAGTTGTTCTGTTTTGCAAGGGGGTCAAAGTGGACATGGGTTTAAAGGAGTGAAGTGGCGCCAAGTATTTTTCCCAGGAAGAGTTACCACCAGGACACACCCTGACGATCCTGGACTGCTGGTCTACCCTGGCAGCAGCCCCTGTGGCCCAGCATGCCCAATTTCTACCGCCATGCATATTCCAGCGCATGCACACACGCAACCGCAAGCCTCTATTGGAGCTACCAGCCACCAGCAGCAGCCGCTTCCTCTGGAAGAACCCCGAAAGGAAATCACACCCCTGAACCTCGTCAGGCAATTCCGCCTTAGACTCAGCCTAGTGGACGGCTGGTCATTGTTTCCACCCAGCATAACAGCCAGCGGGCGAAGCCGGCCATTTTCTGGGTAAGTAGCAGGAGCCGAAAGAGGCATGTTTCTTACCAAACTGAAGGTATTGAATTAAAGGAGAAGGCTGTGTGCATTATATTCATTTGAAACACATAATAAAAAATGCCAAGGTCTAAATTTAATTTATTTTTGTCATTTAGAATACAATGGAGAGATAATCATCTCAACGTGATCAGCCAAACATCTTTACTTTGCTAAACTGTTAAAGATTTTAATTATGCCAGCATTGGAGAGCGCTGGTCTAATGAGGCGATGGACTCCAGAGAATCCGAGTGGTTAAGAACTGTGAAATGAGTCTGATAGGATTTTTTTATATTCACCGTGGATCGTTTGCATATCAAAGAGGAGTAAATTATTGCACAGCAGACCAATAACCTTCCCCGCCTTTCCGCCAGGAACGTTAACAAAAACAGTTGGTCTCTCCTATCGGTTCTTCGCGAAAATGTTCAAATGCCCAAGTATTTGCAATTAATATATATCATAAAGGCGGCTTCGAAGGATACATGAAGTGGTCAGATGTTCCTAGAGCGCATCCTCCACAGCCGAGTCCGTTTCCTTCCCCCTCCATAAAAATCAAATGCCAATTATATTTTGATGGATTTTGTCCCAAATGAGCATTTAGTTATTAGGCATATTCAATTATTACTTGTCCCCTGAAAATTAAACCTCAGAGGCAAATTAAACAAAGGGAAAGGCCACTATACCATCCCACGTCCGGTTTTGCTGCATCTGGGCTATTATTTCCAAACACTTTCCCAAGTGACAGGTGGGACGTGCCAGTACCTGGCAAGTCCGCCTCTGCAGTCTGCACACCAACAATTACCTGCGAACACGGCTGACCCTCAGACCCACGTTCGCTCAACTGAACCAGCAGCCCGCGGGCTCGTGTGCCGACAGTGTGCTCACCAGAACCACATGAATCCATGCCTGTTTCTATTCTCTTTTGCAAACACAGGAAAAGCACCAACCGCCTGTTTCTCCACTCAAGCGAGTTGATTTCTGGGGTCAGCTGCACAGGAAGGACACTGGTCTAAGGGCTGCGTGGACACTTCCCTCTGAGAACAGCACAATCCCAAAGCAGTCTGCAAAGTGGGCAAAGGCACTGGGACGAGGGCTCCCCACTTGTTACACCTGCAGGAGCCAGGGGACGCAGCTTCCTCCTCCGGGGGAGAAGGGTAAACACTAACGGGCTGCCTGACCACAGAGCTGTTTCTGGGTCAAATCTCGATGTGATAATTACATTTCAGAACCTTCTCATCGGAGCCGGCGAGAGGCAGGCAGCCCGATCCTCCAGCACTGCTGCTTCCGCCAGTGACGGTCAACGGCTTGCTCAGCGGACTCCGGACACCCTCTACCAAGGGTGCTGGCCTTCCACAGCCCAGATCTCAAGACAGAATTAAGACAAGAAGGCAGGCGAGGAGTCACTCGTCAGACTAGGTGGATGTCCAACTTCTAAAGAGCCCCCATTTCTTCCAAATGATGGATTCATAGGACCAAGAGCAAACCCATTAACAGGTACGTAACCAGCACGCAGCTTCCCCTATACCTGGAGAGTATGTTTTAAAAATTAAAAGGTCAGAAAGCTAGTGACAGAGTCTTTGTATGTGAAACCGCAGGTGCTCGGGAGGAGCAGAGCATGAGAGAACAGGGTGAGACCAGGTGGGTGGACCCTGCCCACGGAGCAAAGGCCCCACCACAACCTGAAGGACAGCAGAGCTGACCCTGCACTTCACAGCACAACCCCCTCCAGAGGGAAAAATAGGGCCTTCAAAACGTGGCTCTCCATGCTTGTCCTCTCACAAGTGGCCACCCTCAGCAGGCCCGCAGTCAGCCGTGTGGAAGTGCGCACGCAGGCTTTTCCATCAGTGGACATCCCGGCATTTTCGCCACCTAACTCCTGTGCCCTGGCTACATTTTCTTTCTTCCTTCCTTCCTTCCTTCCTTTTCTTTTCCCCAGGACATCCAGTCCCTTCATTATAAAAGAAAATGCAAGCGCGGGTTTAAAAAATGTATGTTGTGGGGACAGTTGACAGATTACTGCTCATGGAACTCAATTTTACCACCCCAGGTATCACTGGCTCAAAGACAAACAGAGTTGATCAACCTTTTTTGTCCTTGTACATCCATACCCAGGTGACCATGTTCAAGCAAGCAGAAAGTTGATTTAAACCTCATAATGACATCAGTTTTAAGCCATCATCTCTCTGATAAAAAGGAATTGTGTTGTAGTCCACACGACTGAATTCTCAGGCCTCCGTGGCTGAGGGGGCAGGGGAGACAAGCCCGGCTCCCGATCCAAAGGAGATGGCAAGAGTGTGGCTCTCCTTCCTGCAAGAACTCGACTCCAGAAATATCTGCCCGTACAGCTGTGCCATCGTGGCGCACACAGGCACCCTCCAATGCCAAGCGAGCGCCCTCCTAATGTTGCAGGGGCTTATAGTTACAGCAGACTGCTAAGCAGATCCATCAATGCCACCCCAGTGAATTACCTGCCGGTGTCTGATGTGATACTGCAGAGATTACACTCCATGCACCACCACATTCATTTCTTGCACATTATGTATGAGCTTGTCTTGTCCCTGCCCAATTGCCCTCTTCTGGACAGCTTAACTGATATACTATAACAATGAACCTCGGAGAGCAAACTTCACAGCCTAGGAGCAGAGGGAAAGGGAGACAGGGTGAAGCCCGAGGCCAGGAGGTGTGTCCCGCAGACGGCCCTGGGTCCAACTATGACCCAGGAGGTGTGAAGGAAGCCCAACTGACATTGGGCAAAAGCTCACAATGCGCTGGCCCCATGGCCTTCCTTTCCCCTCCTGTGGCGCAGTCACCAAACCTGCCCCTCTGAGGGCAACCGGGGAAGCGCTGATGATGAGGCACCAAGTTGAACAGTCGGGTGCACAGGTGTGGAGGGCGAGAGAGAGGCCGCAGTCCACCTGCAGAACAAGGAGAACCCTCGGGGACAGAAGCTGGGCCTGGCCGACTCCACAGGAAGATTCAGATGCAGCCCCGCTTCACTGGCTCCACTCGCCAGCTAAGGTCACCGTCACCAGCCCCGCCTAAGAGGACACCAGGAAGACCCCACATTTCCAGCCTTCTTCAGATGACAGCTGAGCCTGAGACACCCAAAGCTGTGGCCTGCTGCCTTGGAGACACACATCAAATCTGCTGAGGCTCGGAGGACCCAGGGCCGAGGAAGCCACTGAGGTCTGTGGAGCCAGGAACCACCCCCCTCCATGTCCACGGGGCCACCTCTGGATGCCGAGACCCAAGGATGCCAAAGTCCCTTATCTAAATGGCGTTCAGCTTGCAGGCAACCTAGGCATCGTACTCATGCTTGGAAGTACCTCCAGGTCACTGACACCTACTGCAGCGTAACTTGATATAAACACTTGTTCTACTGTATTGTGAGAACAAGGAAAATCCTGTACATGCTCAGCAGAGACGCTCTCTTTTTTTTTTAACTGAATATTTTCAATCCATGCTTGGTTGAATCTGCAGATGTGGGACTTACTAATGTGGCCAGCCAAGGACATGGGCACAGGTATGTCACCTCCTCTCTCCTCCCCTGAATAACCGCTTGCCTTCACACACTTGTAAAAGCCAGAGCGGCTTAAGCCAACACCCTGAGTTTCCCTCTTCTTGTGATGTCCAATACCCTCGGGATGAAATGTCAGCGGCTTTGCGGAAGGAACTCATGAAACCTAGGAAACCTTTTCATTTTCAAGGAACCCACGTCTGAGGAAGAACTGGCAACGGAAAGGGCACCTGCTCTGAAGAGGGTGAGAACCTGCTCCACACCACAGGCCAATGAAAAAGGAGAGAGGGAGAGAAAACATGACCTTGATTCTCACAACTGAACGAGACCGAGTTGAGTGATTTACAGGGGAACAAACACACATTCACACCTAGATATTTAAGAAATGGCATGTGTGTGAAGCACTACTGGGTCTGAAATACAACGAGTTACATGGTTAACATGACTAACAGCAGCCTCTGAGAGGAGACTTCCTGGTTCCAAACAGAAATGTCCCCAGAGCCGCTCCCCGAGGGACCACTATGCACGGTGCTCCCCCAAGTGCTCCTCTGGCCTCAGGGACCAGGCCCCCAGGACCTCCTGCAGCCTTGCTTTCAGTCTGCACACGCATGTCTCAGAGGGCCATCGCCCCCTCAAGGACCTGGAGCCGCCCCAGACACCTGGCCCCTCCACCCCGAAGCCTGCGCAGGGCCGCCATAGAGACAGGGCTGCATACCTTGAGCGAGAGGCTGGAGGGGAAGGGCGGGCTGCCCGGGCTGGATGGTTAGGAGGCCTTGGCGCTGCAGAGACAGGAGGTGCTGCTGCTGGAGCTGCTGCATCTGTAGGAGCTGCTGCTGGAAGGCCAACTGCTGGGTGGCCACCTGCTGCTGCTGCAAGAGGAGAGGAGAGACATGAGAGGCCAATCCCAGGCAAGGCAAGAGGGCAGCACCCCAAACTCACCGCCATCCCGAAACCCAGGGTGGCTTGGGCCCAGGGTGGGCTCTGCGTCAGCCACCTCTCAAGAGGAGCTGCCTCGCGGGAGGGCACTCCCTCTGATGGCTGTGCCTGCAGGGACCAAGCCCTCCACAGTGGCTCCCCCTGCAGCCCACCTCGGGCAGTCGGGAGCCAACCTCTGACCTGAGACCTGAAGTCACCCACCCCAGCCTGGGGGGCCTTGAACCCAGAGCCCTGGGGGTGCAGAGGAGCAAGGTGAGGCCTTCTCCGCCTGCACCGGCAGGAGCCTGTAACTACTCTGTTTATCACTCCTGACATAAATAAATGAGAAGAAATCAGACCTTTGAAGAAGAAAAACTTCATCTAATATTGTTAATTAGCCATGACAAACGATGAAATAACATTGTAAATCTTTCATAGAAACAGCCGCTAGATTTTAATTACACACATTCATAATTTACCAAACAACACCAAGGCACTTGACTGCGAGTGCCGGATAGGAGCGGCTCAAAGCTCAGGCGCCTCAACTTGACTGTGGCCTTGGAGGGCCGGGGCCTGCTCAGGGGGCCTGCTCGCTGGGCCCGCTTGTCGGGAGCCTGCTTTGTTCTCAAAAAGAAGGGGCTTTAGGACACGGGCGAATCTTCTTGTTGATGGGTCGTGATAGGAGGAAAACTTCTGTTGTGTAAAGCATCAATACAGCATTCCTGTGTTTAGCAGGCCTTGCTCCAGCCAAAAAATTAATGTAGATTTCCTCAGTAATTATCTCAGTGATAGAAAGATAATACAGTGCGGTAGTATAATAAATAGAAGGAAATTATCTAATATCCTTAATCTGCGAGGAATCATTTCGAGGTGGAGGGCCCAGCCACACCAGGGCTAACCGTCACAAAGGGAAATTAACCCTTCCCAAACCGGGGCCAAAAAGAAGGAAACAGAATTCCTCAAAGAAAAAAAAGTCAGACCTTTTCCTGATTCTGACTCACATTCAAGAGATCAGGGAGGCCAGGAACCGGGTGGGCTGCCCACGCTCGCAGAGCCTGCGTGTTCCCATCAGCGTCAGGACCCCCCACACAGGGCACTCACTGCACCAACGCACGCCTGGATCTGGGCCCCCACCAAATGGCGTGCGCACCGAGACCTTCCAAGGCCAAGTCCAAAGAAGGAGAAAAATGGTGGCTTCTTTCCGGGCTCCACGTAGATTCTTCCACAGTAAAAACCCTCATTCTCCTATTAGCAACCAATTTCAGACTTACTACCATGCCACTGAGAAAGTTAATTGAGTTTCACTCCAAAAAACAAATTCTATACCACTAACAACAAAAATTTAAATAAATTTAAATGAAAAGCCCGTGTTTTCATTTTAAGAACAGCATGCATAAAATGATCCAATTGTCTTCACCCTTCCCAAGTTATCACATTAATGTAAAACCCAATGATAGTTATATTCATGTCAAAATGATTTTTTTCACTTCTTCAACAGATATTAACTCACGACATTATAAGAAAAAAAGGGGGGGCAGGGAGGGAGAGAAGGACAATGTGGACACTACAGGATCGAGGACTGAGCCCTTCTTGAGGCAGAGTGTGCTGGGGGCCGGAGGCTGGGGAGGGCCTTTCCTGTCTTACTGTAAATGAAATGTTTAAAACATCGTGTATTTATACAAAGTGACTGATGCCTTCTCTGTTGTCTCTGGCCATCCCTAGGAAAACCTCACGAAAGCTGTGCACGTTTGAAAAGCCAGGATATAAAAGTATACAAGGCCCATTGTCCAAAGAAAGAATTTAAAAGCAACACTGGTTGCCAGACTTTGCTCCCCACCCAGTTACCAAACACAGGATACGAGTCCGTTTGTTTACTTCTCACAATTGAATGCGCACAAAAAAGGTCTCCGCACAGTCCCCCGGCAGGTCAGTGGGCAGCGTTAAAACGCAGAAGGGCCTGATAAACCCTGCCTTTCAGATCCCCTCCCTGCGCGCCAGTCAAAGGTCTGGTTTCCCTTTTTCGGCTACTCCCTAGGCCTAACATAAACCTTCATAAATGCCTGGGACAAACCGGCCTTTGAAAACAATCAGCCGGGCCTACCTCACCAGCACTGAACGCCATCTTTCTCTGTAGCTTGATTTCATATTAACTGGGCCATCCATTTTCCACACCAGTCCCTTCCACGGCTGTGCGGGGCTCCCTCTGCCTCCTCCCACCATGAGCATCTATCTCCTGAGCCGGGACCTGGGTCTAACCCAGCGTGCAGCAAGGCTGCCCAGGGAGACATCTCCAGACCACCTGAGGCAACATGAGGGCTTGCTACAGGTCATCAACAGGGGGACGTAAAACTAACAGCACCAAATTACGTGCCACTGATGAGTGGCTTGTGATGTGCTTGCTCTACCTGTCAACCTCTAAGTTCAAACCCTCCTAAAAGCACGACCAGCATCATAAAATTGCTACCATGTGGCTCCATTTCGTTCACCACCAAGGGACCACCACCTGCAGGGTGAACTTCAGGAGACCAGCCCCGACACCCCAGAGAAGGAGGGACCTACTGACCAAGTCCCACAGCACCAAGAACCGGGTCAGCACCGAGCCAGGAGACCCATGCACTCCACCGGCCTCCACCCCCCAAGGGAGATTCTAGGCCACAACTCTCCTGGGTCACCTCTGCCTGGGAAGGGACCACAGCAGACCTGGCGCTGTGGACAAGGGGCAACGCTGTCACAGTGCATCTCCTGGGTGGACACGGAGCACCTTCTCCCCGCCTCCCTCCATCCCTGGCTCAGCCATCACCTCCCTCCCTCTGCTCCCCTTCCTGACAGGAGCAATTTTGGAGAGTGCACTTTTATCCTCCTCCTTCCTGCCCTGTAACTTTCCCTTTCTCGTTTCTTCGGAGGCCCTCGGAGCTCATCTGAACTTTCATGTTCTCCCAGCATGAGGACGAGGATTCCAAACTCTGTCTAACAGACCAAATAAGAGGTTAATAAGAAGTGGCAACAGAAGGGGGAACACAGTCCCCGGTAACTGATAAGAATGACAGTGGCAGCCCTTTATTGTTTGTCTTCAAATATAGAGTTAAAGATCTTTAAAAAACTAAATTTTGATGCCTTTGAAAAGAAAGAAGCACAAAATAACAACAGGGGGTTATTGCCTGTGAGCCACAGGGGAGAGTCTCCATAATTCTTATTCTCCCTTTTGAAGGCTGTTAGAAATCTGATTCAAAAAAGCAACAGCAGAAGGGAACCCTCTCGAGGCTGTAACCATTTCCTGTGATCATGCATAATGTGCTTCAAAAGTGGGTTTTTACCAATTCTGTTGATCAATTGCCCCCCTTCACACCCCTTCTTTTTTCTGCTGTGTTTACATCTGATGTGACTCAATGACAAGTACTGTCTGAGACTGTGAAACAGGGCTGTCATGTTGATTTATGGGCGCATCAAACCACAACTTGTCCAAACTGAAGCTCGCAGTTCATTAATTAGAGAGTTGTGACTTTGAAGTCAGCTTTCAGACTGTGGTTTTTAACATTTGGCTTAATTTATATGCTCTTGAATGTGGATCTCTAAGGAAAAAACTGAAATTCCCTTCTTGTCTTTGAACTTCTTTTGACCGCACAATAATCATTTCTTTGTCCAGAGTGATGCCTGCAATCCCAGAGTCATTAACGCGCATTGAACTGCCACTGATGAGTAAGCCCTGCTGAATTAGAAAAACAGCCAGCAAAACAAAGCTGAGAGCCTTGTGCAGTGATATCTCACAATTACATGCCTTCCCTCCCTGCGCCATTTCCATTTTAATTACTGTTAGTCCTTTAGATTTACATTTTAGACACTTTTTAATCTGTTCCCTATTTTATTACAGCAGCACCCGGTAGCGCCACTGTACTGAGGGTTGTGTCAGCAATTTCATTTCAACCCCGCCTCCCCTTCACCCCAAAACTGCCCCTGCTCTGCGGGGGGTACAGGAGGCTGCTGAGCAGGACTCCGGCGAGAAGCTGGCAGGGCACAGAAAGCGGACCCAGCCCGCGAGAGGGAGTGGCTGGCGCACAGGGAGTAGGCGACTCCTGTGTGCGGAAGGAGTGCCACCGCATCTGTGCTCATGGGAGGGACGGGGACGTGGGCAGTCACCTGGTAAGGCCCTCTGCAAGAACGGGAGTGGCCAGCCGCTGAGAGCAGCAGCAGGGAGAGGCGAGAGGAGGAGGTGGGGCTGCCTATGGAACCACAAGGAGGTGACCCAGGAGGTGGCCAGGCACATGTGGGAAGAGGAGGGTGTGGGAGGAGGTGGGCTGGGTGGGCAACTCTGAAATGGGTCCTGGGTGTCCTCACCAAGTAGTCCTCCAGAGGGCGATGCGGAGCCCCAGGAGGGCTGCACCAGGCCAGCTGGCACCCACTGGGGTGGCGGGCCTCATGCAGAAACCCGTGACCCCACAAAGCACAGTACAGAGAAGCTACTGTACCACGAAAACCCTCAGCCAAGATCTGGAGACCCCCGACTTTCCTGGGCCTCGGCCGCTACAAGGCGGAGAACTGTGGGGAGAAGCTCAAAGAAGATGGGGACATTGAGTTTTCTTCCAACTCTTGTTGGTCTGTCCAGCCTCACAAAAGGTGACTCTTGTGACAGAAGAGGCCATCGCTGTAAGGCCAGAGCCTCTGGAGCTGGAAAAAGAGAAATCAAGTGTCCCAGAAAAATGCCACGGACAGCGCTTCACCCCCCGCTACAGCCTGAGCCCAGGGCGCTCTGCCCAAGACCCCTGTCCAGGTCCCCACACAGGTAGGCTCTGGAGCAGCACTGGGAAGATAAGTGGCAGGAAGCAAATGGAACCGAGGAACCTCAGACAACACGACAATAACTCTGGGTCTGAAAGCCGAGAACCGATAGAGTCAGCTCAGTTGCGCAATCACTTAAAAGATGAATGGCAGTTTAACAGCCACTAGAGAGTCCTCCGGGGAGCTGCGGTTTGAAAGTAAAATATGTATTGTCGGTACCTCTTTAGGCTGCTTTCCAGCATGCTGTTGTTGTAAAAGTTGAAGCTGCAACTGTTCCTGTTGTTTTTTATAAAACTCTTGAAGCTGCTGCTACAAAGGAAAGAGAGGACGGTAAGTGACAGAGGGCAGTGCCGGTCCACTGTCCCTTTCGGTGCCATATACAAACTGTGATTTGAAAAAGAGCATTCTTCTATCTGTAATGGGCTGACCTTTAGTTTGAAAGTCGACAATAAATTCCGCACACGCTGACTATTCTTGGCATTATTGTTTGAGAAGTAATCTCAAAAATGGACTGATGAAAAACATACCATTTTCTACACAAACTAATTAAAATAAGGCAAGGGATGACCTTTGAGAGTACAACAAAGCCAAGATGCCCTTGCTGAGAGAGTCTGGTGAGTCTCCAGCGCACTCCAGACAGTGGGGGTAGGCAGTGCGGAGCACCAGCCAGCACGGGAGCTTCCTGTCTGGGGTCCCTGCCACCCCTCACCCGCTGCGGTACTCGGTCTCATCCCTTCAGCTCAAGTGTCCACGAGGTCTGGGCATCAGGTCCCCATGGCAGAATGACAGCCAGAGGCTCATCTCAACATGAGCGCAGACGGAAGATGATGAAAAGTGCACCTTGAAATCAACCAACTCCAAAACGCTTATTTATATTTCAGGGGAAATTCCGTCAGGGTCTGAGTTGAAATGGGGACTTCAAGAGCTGTCATAGTTAAACCTGCTCCCACCGTGCCCCTCGCTCTGCTTTGATTCTCGCCATCAAGAAGCCTCTGGGCTTAGCAAATAAAAGAGTGGTAAGCCACCTAAGCCCTGAGACCTTTCTCCACCAAGTCCAGTGACAGCCCTGATCTTGTTCCCAAAGCCTGGCCACTGTGGCAGGGCTGTCTCTTGGGGACACAGATGCAACCCACCCCTTGGGGGCTGGTCTGCAGACTGCTACAGCCACCTGCCCTCTCCAACGGGAATGGCGGCCACTCTGCCAAGGGGCCATTCTGAGCGGGCGTGGTGGGGGTGGGGATGGTTACCTGCTGAAGCATGAGGGCCTGCTGCTGCTGGAGGAGGACCTGGAGCTGCTGAGGGCTCAGCACCTGTTGCTGGAGGATCTGCTGCATCTGCTGCGGAGTGATAACCTGAGGTGTCATCATAGCCACCGACACGGGGACCTGGAACGTAACCGAGCGTGAATAGAGGCCAGGAAACCACAGCACGCTGCGTCCCGGGCCAGCGGCCGGCTGCCCCCAGCCTGCCCAGAGAGCTGACCACCTTCCCAGGCAACGCGGACTTCGGCAGAGGGACGCAGCGCCGACCGCTGTGCCATCTCCCGTGGAGTCTGTAGAGGGTGATTTTTGTGGCACTAGGGATGGAACCCAAGGCCTCAGACACACTAGGCCAGCACTCGACCACTGAGCGACACCCCCAGCCCTGGAATTTATTTTAAATACAGAAAAATGAGATCTTTCAGCCCTGATGGGGGGTTCTAGAAAGTCTTAGAGACAGACAAGGAGGAGAAACTTAACAAATGCTATCCGGATCTGGGATAGAAAGAGCTCAGCTTCTAGTTAAGAAAGAGTCTTCAATCAAAACGAGCTGGAGGAAGTTAACCCAAACTTGAATTTTGTATTAAGGGAGAAGGGACATAGGACCCCATAGCTTTGCAGCTGGAGTTATGGGACGCACTTCCTTTGTGCATAGCAATTTTCAGGACAATCAATAATTGCCAAGTCCCATTGATAAGGGAACCTCCGAGGCGCCCTCTGAACCTGAGCACGGACCCTCTCCGTGACGCCTTCACCCTTCCTTGTTCACTCAGCACACAGATGTCTCAATTCTTTCATATTATGTGCGATACCATTAAAAGCCGCTTTCCATGACATTTCAGTGACAAACAGCTACAGTGATGAACTTGATAGCATTTCATATTTGCAACTGTTAACACGTTTCTGCACGGGCATCTTTGCAAGGAACCTGTACACTGGATCTGAAAGGATGATGTCTTGTTCAGATAAAACACTGACATTAAAATGACAGCCTGTCTTGGCCAAGGTTACACAAATTGTATTCAAGCGGATACCTAATGACAATGCTATGAATTCTGCGAGCTTTCTAGAATGTAATTTAGCTATTCAAAATAATCACTGCACTTGTGTTTAATTTGCAGACTACATGAGAACCATTTTGTCAGTCCCCGTAATGCAAGACTATTTCATGAAGAATCACCCCCCCACACACACACCCCAATGAAAAGATAAGAAAAGAAAACAACGAAGGAGAAGACAAAACCCGTATGTCTTGGAAGAGTAATATTTAAGCATCTTACTTCTCTTTGGTTTCTAATCAAACATGTGACAGCAAGAAGCAAGAGGCAGTAAAGGATATACTTTGTTAAAAAGGATCTGCTGTCATCTCACGTATTACAATAAAAGGTAATAACATGTTTTGCACTTTGCCTGTGTGCCACTTGAAAAAAATTCAGCAGACAATAGCTGATCAGAAGATAAAAGAATTAAAAAAAATCTTTCAGGGGAACAGTAAGCAAAAGGGAGAAATGCAGTATTAATTTTATGTAACATAATGTCTTAATGTGCAGTTTATCTTGACTCTCTCACATGATCTGTCCTGTCATTTGCATAGCGAGCTCTCATTCCTAATTTCACAGTCATTATGCTCTGATGTCCCGATTTCTCAGCATCACTAATTTTGATGAACTAAAAATGGTTCCTGAAGGTCAGATTCATGTACAGTGAATGCTCTGCACTGTTGCTGTGGGCATGTTGTGTGTGGGGATGTTGACGTGCAAGTTCTGCATGTTTAGAAAACACTAGCTTGAATCCTGGGAAAATTTCATTAACCCAGCTCTGGAAGGTCATCCATGAATTCTTCCTATTGCAGTGGCCTTTTAAGTGTAGATGTAGATACACTGTAATTTAAAACAGATGGGCATGTCTGAATATTTTTATATGCAAAAAGGGACAGATGTATATGAATGGATAAATTATCCTTTTAAAAAGATAATTCGCAGCATGAAATACCACCAATGATCGGAACGGCGAACTTGCATTCAGTCAGGGCAAACATCAAGATGACATTACCCAAACATTCAACCACCTACAAATTATTTCCAATTAGTTCACTTTGCCTTTGCCCACAAGAAACTTTCTGGATTCTCAAATGCGCACGGGGTGCCAGTCATTGTCTGGGGCTGCTGAGGCCACACGTCACCTCACGGGGGGTTTACTTTTCCTTGGGAGTTGCATCACGGACCCGGCCAGGAGGTTCAATTAAGCAAACAAAAGAGCCATGTTTAAGGTTTCTTTTTTCCTCTGCGTTTCTTGGATGATGTACAATATAAATATTCTTGAGCCAAATTTCTAATGGTGATGAACAGGAAAACGCACAGGAATGGGTGGTGTAAGGTCTGAACCGATGGGGAACGTGAACTTCACAGAGTTGTAACACAAGTCAGCACAGAAACAATCCCCTGGGTGTGAATACTCAAGAGATCTATGGACATCCTGTTAGCAAGGGGCCAGGGAACTTCCGGGGGCACTCCGACCAGGGTGGTGGTCACACAGATGCATGGAACTGACAGAAGAAGTCTTCTGCCTGTACCCTTAGTAGGAGTGCTGTGGGCAAAGGACACCTCAGTGAAACAGTTTTTTTAGAAGTTTTCCATACGCACACACATACGTGTAGACACACATGCTTGTGCATGATTGTGTGTGTGTGCATATGTGTGTATGTATTCTGGAAGTTTTATTTTCTTTCTAACTCTGGTAAAATTGCGTGCATCTTCTTGAATGAGGAATACCACTGTCTCTTGACTGTCAATAAAAGGGGAGGGGTGATGAGGGACAGAACCTACACAGAGAATTTTCCAACCTCACAGACAGCCCGCAGTTTAAGGCCCCTTTCCCACAGTTATCTATTAATCTTCTGCAGTTATGCTGCAGAGCAGTGGATTGACCCTCCCTTGCTTTCTTCCTCTGGACACTTTGATGGAGAAGCTGATGAGCAGCAAAACGCTTGGAGCAGCAGCCGCCCAGCCCGGCCCATGGAAGGACAGCAGCAAGAAGCTGGAGTGATCCTGTACCCCAGCTGATGGGTCCCTGAGTGACCAGAAGTGGCCATTGTGTCCCAATGGCTTGAACTTGGGTTTTACTGTCCGAAACCACATTTTCTCACCAGTTAGCACCAAACCTCTAAAGGGAGGCTCAAGATTAATTTATAAATGCAATAAAACTGAGATTTCCCCAAAGTTTCTGCTCCAACAGATCAGGAAAGGAGGTTATGGGAAGCTTTAGCAAACATATTCAAATGGATCGGAAACCATGGTGGGGTAGGGGGGAAAAAAATCAGAGCACAGTTTAAGGCTTTAACTAGTTAAGAATTACAGCCATGTATCCACTGCCCGAATTCCCAGCGTCCAACTTTCTCATGCGCCAGTCCCCACTAATACTGGGAATCAAAGGGCACGCAGGACCAGCGACGGGCTATTACAGCCCGCACTTTATTGCCCATTACTACTGAGGTCATTAGCGGCAAGAGTGATCGCAGCAGTCTTAACCTATTGATCACTGTAACTGCTATCATTTAATCCTGGGTTGAATGTGTGGAAAGCAGCTAAAGGCACACAGGAGAGAGAGCCTCGCACTGAGAAATATGGCCAGAGCTCAGAAATTACACTCTGATTCATAAAATCTAGCCAGTGGTTTAAATCAATAGTATTTAAAACAGTCATGTGAGTTTTTAACTACAGCGGTCTCATATTTACGGGCCCTTCTTTGAGAGTATTCAGTGAAAACGAAGCTTTCCTCTTTTCCAATCCCACGCTGGCCACCTTGCTCTCCCGGAGATAAACACGTGCGTTTCTGATGTTCTCGGAGCCACAGGGCCTGGTGCCTATCTGGCAGTTTAAGCTATTTTTTTTTCTTTCTCATAAGACAATTTAAATATAAGACTATATATATATATATATCCCTGATACTGTAACTACCTCAGCTGTTTGAGTATATAGAAATGAGTGTTTTATGAGTTAACAATGAATCATAGAAGGCAATTTATGAAGAACTAGAATGATTCTGTCTAGCTGCCTTCAGGGATCAGAAATTCAAATTAAACTCCTGGCAGACATTTAAAGAATGCTAGCATACAAAACTGAATTTAAACACACACACACACACACACACACACACAGAGTTAACACTATTTAGTTGAGTTTCATGAGGAAATCATGAATTAAAAAAACACAGGGCATGATCCACTGCTGACTGATACCAGCTGGGTGTGGCGGATCCCAGGTGCACTGGGACCTGCGGGAATGGCAGGAACACCACTGTGCCCGGGCCACAGACCTCTGCTAGTGTGGGCCTGCTGTTCTAGCCCCAGAGCAGCCATGGGAGACTGTCCTCAGCCACCAACTGCTATCCCAAGCCCCTGCACTGCCCAGCAAGTTCTGCCTCTGCATGTCTGAAGGCCTGAGGACGAGTCACATAATGGGCCTTATTGTTGTCTTTTATCTCAGGGAGAGGCAGGTGATGGGAGGGGAAAATCTGAAAAGCAAACAAACAAACAAAAACATTGGAGAAACAATGCTTCATTCTAATCTAGGAGACAATTGAAGGAATTGGGTGGGAGGCAGACGACACAATATCAATACTGAAAATAACATGTTATCATGTTTTTCCCTCCCTGTAGCTTAGGCTCCAGCTAAGGACTGCAGGGAGGGAGGGGGAGAGGGAGAGCAGACAGACACACACTCTGCCCATCAGCATCTCCTCCTACCACTGTGGACAAACTATAAAACCAGGAAGAACAAAAATTTATGCATGCTGCTTTATTTCCACAAACCTTTCTTTAAATTTATTTTCATTAAATAACCCCCCCCCCCAAAAAAAAAATTAGGAACTGCTGTTAACCTTTGCTCATTCACCACTGTGTGTCCCAGGAACTAACTTCCCCCCAGACACCAGGCTGTTTGGTGATGAAGTGATCTGGTTAGGCAGTGTTACCTAGTTAATCACATAACAAGAGCAAAACAAATTAAATCAGAAGGCTCCAGCATGTCAAAACAAAAGCAAACAAAGAAAATGGCTCTATAAAAAAAAAAGAAAAAGAAAGAAGGAACAAACTATGCCAAATTTTATATGAGCATATAGCAGCTGGC